AATATTTTGTAACAATTAAAAAACAACATAATAATTTTTTTTAATAGATATTTGTCAACTGGAACATGTTTTAAAGCTTTGCAATTCGACTTTCATATTGGGAAAAGTACAATTGCAGAAATCGTTAGAGAAACTTGTACTATTATTTGGACAATTTTGCAGCCTTTAGAAATGCCTCAACCCACTACAAATCAATGGCTTGAAATAGCAGATACATTCTATTCAAAGACAAATTTCCCAAACTGTTTGGGAGCCATCGACGGTAAGCACATYAGGTGCAGAAATCCTCGAAATTCAGGATCATATTATTTTAACTATAAAAAATATTTTTCGATAATTTTAATGGCTGTGGTTGATGCTAACTTGAGTTTTGTGGTAATTGATGTCGGAGCTTATGGAAGAGAATCGGATTCAAACGTATTCAAAGAATGTCCATTTGGCAAAAAACTATATTCTGGTCAGCTTAATATACCAGAACCTGCATACTTGCCTAATACCCAAAACGTCGTACAGCCATATGTATTTGTAGCAGACGAGGCATTTGCACTTCATAAAAATTTACTAAGGCCATACCCAGGACGAGGCCTTACTGACAAACGTCGAATTTTTAACTACAGGCTCTCTAGAGCTAGACGAACAGTGGAATGCGCGTTTGGAGTGCTGTCAAACAAATGGAGGGTGTTGCATACCCCTTTGTTAGTAGAACCAAATTTTRCAAATGAAGTTATCAAAGCATGCTGTATATTACACAATTTTGTGCGTCAAAGGGATGGTATCAATTTTGACGATATGGCAACGAGTCAATTAGTCGATGATTTGGAGGTACGGGGAACAGCACCACGTACACAAGGATTACARGTCAGAGACTACTTTTCCGAATATTTTATGGGTCCAGGCGCAGTACCATTTCAGTACTCATGTATTTAAGGTTTATATTTTAAATTTAAAATAAATAATTGACATTATACAGATTTTACTCATTTTATGAAGAAGCAGATTACACGTAATTATTTATAATTTATTATTATTTTATTTAAGTTATATCTAGAAGATTATCTAAAATGTATTAATTTACATATTTATGTTTTTTTTTAGTTTTTGATATTGTATAGGTTATTACAATATTCAATTTGTGAAATATATTTAATTTTATTATATTTTAAAATACAATATACAAATAATTATTTTCAGTACTTTATAATTATATAGCGTAATAAATAACCTACTGATAACTTACCCCGTTCATCTTTTTCTGTAGCTGAAAGCTCATTCCAGTCACTATACATCGTTTCACAGACCGAAGTCCAAGCCAAAGCTTTAACATGTTTATTATGGTAATCGCTATCACCAATATTCCATAGACATGGTTTCGATTCTACTTCAATTATTAGTTTTTCGTAATCAAACATTTTTTATTTAAATATATTAATTACTTTTTTTTACATAAAAATAAAATAAATAAGTCCACCGCATACGACACTGCCGGATCGTGTGGTCGAACTATACTAAAATAATGTATATTTGGAGTTTGTCCGGTATTGGCGATCCGGTATCACCGCAACATGTTGCGGTAGAGACCTGTCGGAACCGGTGAAAACGTGTCGTGTAGACCAAAATAAAATTAATAATTTAATATAGT